AATAATTAAATATAATTAAATACCTATACACTATATGTACAATAATTAATGTTCCGTAACATACTAGAACTTTAATAAGAAAATTATTCTTCTTTTATTAAAAATTCATATTTAATTTAATTAATAAGTTAAGTACTTTATAAATATTATATGTTTTAAATAAAAATTTACTTAAATGAAATTTCTTTAGTATAAAATTTAGTGTAAAATATTGTCATTATATGGCAAATTATTTTTATTTATACATTATTAAAATTTATATAACCTATGACCTTGATTTTTTAATTTATCTACTTCATACTTTGGAGTGAGAGTTAATATATATATACATATTACTTGCAATTAGTCTTTAAATAATTGTGATTATAACAATGAAAATATAATCTACACAAAATGAAAAGTCTGCTTTGCACCTGTCTTTTAATTGCTATAAATATTCTTTTAATCAACTACTTTCACTAACATTTATATGTTTAGCGCCGAGACACTATCATGTCTCCAGATACACGTGTTACATACATATATAATTAACACGTTGAATGTCACGCTGATATTACATGACTCCAAGGCGCCAATATACATTTGCTATCATGCGATACATATTGTGTTAAAATATTATTTCTGTTAATTCAATAATAAAAATTTGTATTAATTATTTACCATTATATTTTCTTTTTTACGTATGTTCTTTAGTTTACGTAATTTATAATTTTAAAACTCTCTCTAATCTATACATTTTTTGTATTACTGATAATATAAATACGATACTAGAAGGCTTCAACGCATATACAGGGTATTTAAAAAAAAAATAAAATAAGATGTTATATGTTTTAGATTTTTACCGTTGATTTAATCTTTTATATTCGTTCAGTTTTTTATATACTTAATTTAATTTTTTATACTTATCAATTTACATCATAGGGTAGTATTAAAACATTGTCAATATAACAAATTGTCACTATTAATGTGACAATTATATAAATGTGTAAATTATATAACTGATGTTTGTACGATCTATAATCTTGTTTTTTTTAACCTATGTATTTTATCCATCGAAGAGTGAATCAGTATATATACGATATAACTACATTATTTTGAATGATAGCGCTTATTTGCAGTGAAGATATCATTTGAACAAAATGAAAAGTCTCGTGCTTTACATTTGTATTTTAATAATTGCTGTAAGTATTCTGTCAATAAGCTGCTTTAACTATTCCAATAAACTACAAAGGAATATCTATAATAATATATGTATTAAAAACTATATAAAATAAATGAAATAAATATTTTATAAGTTTCAGCCGTCTAGCTCAACAGAACTAAAAAAATTCGAAAATTTAATAGAAACTATTAATGATGACATGGAAGCTTGCAAGATTAAAAATAATGTGACTGAAGGTAAATTATGCATCTTATTGCAGAAGCATATTATTGAAGATCCTGTGATTGTCATCTAAATTCTCTAATTAATTTTTTAGTTTTCTTTACAGTCTTTTATTTAAACTAACTTTTTTTTCAAAAAACTTGATTTTTGTATTGATTGATTTTTTTTCTTAGCTGATGTCTACAATCCGGAAGAGATAATGACTGACTTACCTACCCAACCTGAAAATGAAGAAAGAAGAAGAAGAGTTGGCTGCTGGATTGCATGTATCTTAAAAAGACAGAATTTAGTAAGTGTCTTCAAATATGCTATACGTATTTTATATATATCCAACAATGCAATATATTGTAATAAATAATAAAATTTTAAATTATTGGAGACTTAATTTTTTTTCTAATGCAATAATTATTAATGCAATTAATAAAACACATAATTATTTACATATACAAGGTATATTTGGTGGTAAAATACAAAATTTGTCATGCAATAATTGATGTTATTACATATTGTAGTATTAATAAAAATCACTATGCTATAATATTTAATTTGTAATAAACATATATTTTAAGTTATATAGCGCTTAAATTGCGCAAAATAATTAAAATAAATATATATCTATATTTTTCTCTAATTTATAAAATTTTTTTTAATGTTAGATGGAAGGATCAAACATTAAGGAAGCACAAATTTATGTAATAATAAATATGGAGTATACTAATATTTCTCAACAAGTCATTATTCACAGAATTACGCGTAAATGCATGAAACAAGGTAAGATATATCTTAAATTACACATATTATTAGATTGTTCAATTCCATAAACAAAAATGTTCATGTGGCGTGTTTTTGTTTTGAACAATTCAATATGCAATTTTGAACAGTTCAATATTGCTGTTAAGAAAAAGATATTATATAGTTCTTTTTATAATTCATTATTTAAGTGATAAATTTTTTTATAGTTTGTAATAAATTTTAAAAAAATCTACAGTTCTCGCTCTCTAAAATATAAATCTTACTTTCTTCGATGTATTGTATAAATTGAAGTTAGCAAGAAATAAGGAATTACAAAAAAATTTATTATGAACATTTTATGTATTTGCACTTGTAGTATAATGCTTTTAAAATGTTATAGTTGTTATAAAAATATATTTTTTATAGGAAATATGATTATATATTGTATCTTTTAATTATATTATTTTGTACTTTTATTTATATAGTAAGAAATATTACACAAGAATGTGAGAAAAGCTTCTCCCTGTTAGTATGCTTTATAAAAGCTGCATATGAGGAACAGAAACATGAAGAATTTGAAATAAAAAAAGCAGAAGAAAATGCATAAATAGAACAAACTGTATAAATACAATTAAATGTAAAAATTAAACATTATCCATATAGTTACTAATATATATAAAGCATACATACAATGCGATATAATTTATATTAAATAAAAATGTGTATATTTACGTGTATTCTATAATATTCTAATCTTATTTTTTTATTAAAATTGCATATATTATACAAAAATTGTATTTTACTTTATACAAGGAAACGTTTCACAACTGTCCGGCACCGATTTAACTCTGCATTAAATATGTTATTAAACACAAAAATCTAAGAGATACGTATTTTTTTATATGGGCACTAACTTCTGTTTAAGGAGTGAAACGCCCCTTCGAAACGGTATTTCTCTTCCAGGCTGAATATTGGCGGAAGTAAATAAAAGATGGAAAAAAATTTTTAAACAAAAGTTATATGACTTAAAGAGTACTTTAAAGTTGTGAAGAAAAAAATTTTGTTAATTTTTTCTGTTTAATAATATATCCTTACCATCCACAATTTTCTCAAATCTAGAAAATTTTTTTACCGAGTTTTTTTTACCTTTTAAAGATAATTTTTTTCCAAATTCAACCATGTATAATAAAGTTATATCACATTATATCATCTTTGAGAATTAATTATAAATGCTTTCTTATATATTTTATCCGTGCTTATGTGCATATGTAATTATCATCGAAACAATAAAATATATAAAAAGATGTTTTAAGTAAAATTTGTATAGTTTTCTACAGGCTTTATGCTGTTTATATATGTATGTGTATATATATATATATATACATATATATATATATATATATGTATATGTATACAAGGTATTTCCTCTAACTTGACCATCTGAAATATCTCCGTTGTTTTAAATGATATGAGAAATTATTGAAGGAAAAAATTATTGCCATAACTTAATAAAAAATTATCATATTGGATTCCGCAAAAACGCGTTTTGAAAAGGAGATTTTGGGGAAATTTTACGCCCTTTTATCTCACTAAGCTGCGTCAACTGCTTTACTCCATACATCTCCGGAATTAGGAGGTTCTGCTTATCAATTTTGCAGGTCCTCATTCTATCATCGGCCATTGGAAAATTATTGATGCCACTTAATCGGCATTAGAAGTACCTCAAAGTACAGACTTCAAGCTTTATTTTCATTTTTGGAACACCTATGTATCATTGTTATTTACTGAGTGTATATATACATAATATTATTATATATAACATACATATATAATGATATATAATAAAATAAATAAATATAATTTTAATTATTCTGTTTTTTTATATTTTCTAAATCTTTTAAAGCTTTTTTGATACAAACTTTATGATAGAGCCCCAGAAACCTTTTATACGGCCCTGTTTTCAATAATGAGAGTGTGTTAGTGATGCATATTATTATATATTTTTCTCTGCGTTTGTACTTCATGTTTATATGATCTGTAATTTTTCAACTCTAATCAATGCATTTTGTCTATTACAGACCAAGGTTTGATTTGCACTTCTCAGTCGATTTTCGACTCGGCTCCACCTTCCGCTACTCTGCTCATCTCATCACCTCGTAGTTCAAGTGCCGCTCGACGTTTAACAGCGCATGATGTTTACAGACATGAGGTCCACTCACTTTGCACTCACGCTGTAAATTTCATTCAATTTTTTTTTTTTCATTTATTACATGACTAAGGTAGAATGAAGCAACGCATAAGATTGAGCGCTTACACGTTGCTTCATTCTATCTTAGTTATGTAATGAACGAAAAAAAAAAAAATAGAATAAAGTTTACGACGTGAGCACCCAAAGTGGATGGCTCTTATATCTCTACAAACGTTATACGCTCCTAAAATCGAGCGACATTTGGACTATGCGCGAGGTGATGAGATGAGAGGAGTAACGGAAGGCCGAATCGAAAATCGGCCGAGAAGTGTAAATCGTGCCAAGCTCTGTTACAGACCTTGGTGGAATCAGAAAGATAAAGCATTCTGAAGGACATGCAGTAGATAGTGACATGCCAATAATGTTTGATTGGTCGATAAACAGTAGATAGCATTTGGTTGGTTAAAATTCGCCTCCTCCTTACTCCATCGTACGCAATGCTTTACCTTTCTGATTTCACCATGATTACAGACAATATAAATGCGATGCTAGTAGGCTTCAGAACACTATAGTACGACATTTAGAGATAGTGTGGACTAACTACATAAAAAATGAAGAAAATATTTTATATTTGCACTTTTGTGTTTGTCGTAAGTATTTTTTGCCATAAATATTAGTATAAATAGAAGGTTAAAAATTTTTCTAGAAATCTTAAAAGAGTTCTCTTACAACGTAATTACAATAAATTATAATTAGTATATTATTTTTACAAATATGTATGTAATTAACACATCGCAGCAAACTAACATGTAATTATAATATAACTTAGGGAGCGCATAGAAAAAACAATGATATAATATATTTTATTATAGAGACGATATGTGTCACATAATTTTGAGGATACTTTAGAAGAACAAAAATATATTTTTTCGTTATGTTATGTGTATAACTATACAAATGTAATCTACACACACCTAACTCAAAATACATAACACAAACACAACAACTGCAATCTTTCATCAATTTAACTAACATTATTCGATTGATACGTATAAAATGCATAAATATTATAGATACATTAAATTTATCCAGCAGTCGGAGGAGATGCTATTATTTTTGTATGTTGTACACAGTGCTTGTTTCACATCTAATAGACAATACAAATGGAATGACATAAAGAGCACTAATAATGTCTCTCTAAACACAATTCTATAGATTAATCACAATTAATTCGAAATTGAGTATTACATACATAACGCTACATTCTTTTCATGCACTTTTTACTATCTATAGCGTAAATTTTTATCATTGTTGTACTTATTTTGTATATACATATAGAAATATGTAAAAAAGGACGTTTACATTACATTGCAGTAATACGTTATTTCTGATATAAAAATAATATGTTTAAAGAGTTGGTGACATAAAGCCGTACCAATACATGATATTTATCGTTACAAACAATAATAATATTACATATAACATTCTGACCGTATAATATTATATCTACAGTTAAGTTACATGTGTGGTTTCCTGGAATAATAACATATATACGTGTGTGTACTGCATATAGAAACAGCATAATCAAAGTAATAAGAAAAATTAATTAAAAATAAAATTTTATATATTTTAGTCTTTTACTGTTGACTCAAAGAAATTAGGATCCGCCAATGGGAATTACAATACCTGCCTAATTGAAACTAATGTATCTGAAGGTAAGTCTGAGCGCGTATTCACACACACACACACACACACACACACACACACACACACACACACACACACGAGCGCATATAGTGTCACTGCACTGGAAATCAATTTTTGTAACATTAACTGAACTTTGTTAATGCCTTAATTATAAAAATATTAATATTTTATAAAAATAAGGGTTATTAAAGACTATTTAAAATAAAAATTAAGGAAATAATTTATTTTAATTAATAGTTTGTATATTTTACAGTCTTATTTCAAATAAATATAGTCATTTTAAATATTTTCCAAAAACTAACAGAACTTAGTATAATACTTTAATACATAAAAGATGATACATAATATTTTAAGTAGTTAGACTATTTTATCTTAAATACACATAAAAAAGATTTTTAAAAAATTTGTATATTTATAATATTTTTTTAGAATATGAACGATATCTTTTATAATTCTTTACATAGATACAAAATTTATATTTTTCGAAAATTAAATTTCTAGATGACATGTTAACAGTACAAGACGTAATACATGATCGATACAAATCCGAAAATCAAGAAAAATTAAATAAGAATGGTTGTGTCCTACAATGTATTCTTCAAAAAGATGGACTGGTAAATAGGTTTTTTATTATTTTCTTAAAAAGCATCTAAGAAACCTTTCGAATGTTTAAAAAGCATTTTTACCGTCAAAATAATAAAATATTATAAACATTAAAATGTAATTTATGTCATAACGCCTTTTATTTAAATCTTCCTGGTTAAAAATTTATTTTAAAATTAATTTTTAAATTATGAATTTTATTAGTAATTTAATGATTTTATATATTGTCACGTTATCCAATTTAAAAAATAATATATGATATAATATATGCATTTTATAAATAATTTAATGTAAAGAAATTAATATTTATTAATTAATATTTTATTAATTAATATTTTATATACTTTTCTTATAAATTAGATGGAAGACGCAGAATATAAGTTAGAAAAGGTGCATATCGCATTCATCAAGAGAACAAATATTCAACCAGGAGATAAAAGATTGGAACAACTGGAAAATTGCATAAACAAATGTAAGTTATACTTATCATAATCATATAATTTAAAGTAAAAAAATCTAGACTTTGATAAATATATAATTATGTTCAGTGAAACTTACAATATTAATTATTAATAAGTTTTAATGCATTTAACTAGCTATTTTAACATTATAATAAGTGACGAAAGCGTATAACATATTTATTTTATTCTTTTTCTTATTTATACTAATTTTATTTTTCTTTTATTCCAGCCAAAGACCTTACAGAAAAATGCGAAAAAGCGTTTCTTTTGAGCGCATGTCTTTTCAAATCTGAACACGAACATATTCATGAATACGGGTATAGTGAATCCGCAAAATAATAAATACAAAAATAGCTGAAATATAATTAATATGTTAAAATTTACTTTGCACAGCACTTTCAATAAAAAGAAATATGTATAAATAAGTATATTATATAGTTTTCTTTTATTTTATATATATTAATACAAAAAATAAATTTTAATTTAAATAAAATACTTTTTTCCTTGATAAAAAAAACTTTATTGATTACAATAACAAATTGTTTAAAATTATAATGCTGTAAGAAATAAATAGAAAATCACGTAAGTTAATAAAATAAAATTAAAAATATCTAAATTATTAAATTTGTAATATAATAGAAATATATGTGACTATACAAAGATATTGAAATTGTTTTTATATAATTCTGCATTTTTATTTTCCTTAACATACAAACAATTAAAATAATTAAATTTTTGATTAATTTTATTTCTTTTGCTTACATAACCATTGGTATGCGAATGTACTTACATAGCAATGCATAATAATTATATGTTATCAATATACTATCCGTGATTTTCATTTTATACATCAAATTATATAAAAATTAATTAATTAATTTTCACACATGTCTTTTATCATAATAAAAATATATTGACGATTATAAGCTCATACTGATTTTGTACAAACATAATTCTTGTACGAATTATTGTTCTTTAACAATACCTTTATTGCGATATCTTGATTGCAAATTAATTACAATTATCTTAACAGTAGACGTTATATAATTAAACAAATTTAAAATTATAAACAGAACTTTACATCTCTTATTTTTTCTTTTATAATAAGTTGCAAAATATACTGTTGCCAAGTACAATGCCTTGCAATAGCCGATCAGAAATAATAATAATTAGTGATGATTTTGATTGACTGTCGTAAAGCGTTGGAATTGATAAGGAGATATTTGCAACTTATTGTAGGTCGCCTCTTAGATTAATAACAATTTGTGCCAAATTCAACTTGTTTATCAAACATTTTTAAAGTGTTAGTTACTAGAAGACAAGTCTAGAATTTAAATAAAATACATGTGTAAAAATAAATTATTATTATATGTATTAGATAAATTTGTATAATATAAATGAAAAGAATAAATAAAAAATTAAAACATAAACACGTGAACACATGTTTCAGAAAATATACGAATCAAGTTGACCAATAACTCCTTTCTATTTTTCAAGTAAAACTCAAAAACAAAATATTCATATTTTAAAATATCTTTAATCAGTATTCATCATTTTGCACAACTTTAATCAATCTTATGAGCAATTTAATAATGTCGTTCTCAACCGGTTGTGCAGAGAGTAGCAAATTAGCAGTTGAATTCATAATGGAAATGTCGGAACTACTCGCAAATAGTTCAGTCACAGTGTCATCTTCGTACAAGTAGAAAATTTTTTATAAATTCATGGAACATTTTTATCTTTCTATAAATAAAACAGCATGATGTGCTGAAAATCTTTCTTATCCTCCACATTTAAAACGACATTAAATACTAAAAATTCAATCTTAGCAAATTTTTTATAAAATGCGTGTTCATCTTTTACAAAATTGTTGAATAACTGATGAAATTATAAATAAATATTTACTAATAATATTATTAGATGTTAATTGCATTTCTTCTCAAAAATATACTTATTGGCTAACTTATTATAAGGAAATTTCATATGTATATTATTTTATAAACAACTCGTCACTTTTTCTCTCTCTCTCTCTCTCTCTCTTTCTCTCTCTCTCTCTCTCTCTCTCTTTTTGCAACAGATAAGTATTCTATCGTTTATGTATTTGTGCTAAATGTAGTAATTTATCATTTATATTCTCACATTTGCATGATACGCTTATACGTGATCCCTGACCTCAACTTTAAACTTCGTACACATCTGTTGCTAGCAGCTAGAAATTACATTGTACGTTGTTTGATTCTGAAAAGTTTTCTAGTGCTCTAGCTTATAGAAATAAAATTATATAAAAGAATATTTATGCTTTATATTTGTGTTTTTTATTTTGTTGTAAATATTTTTCAACTAAAAAAATTGCACAAATTAATTAAATATTAAACAATAAAGTTTTTAAAAAATTTTTAGATAAATTAATTAGATAGGTATAATAATAAGGTATATAAAAAGATTTTCTTATATTCTCTCTGGAACAATATTAAATTAAGGGATTAATTAATCGTGGAATTAAATTTGCTAAGAAAATAAATGCTCAAGCAAGAAAAAATCTATGTATATCTGCATGATTGAAATTAATTTTTATATACATGTATGCAGGGAATGGAAGTTACTTGTAATTTTTTTTTTTACAAGTTACTTTTTTTGGTAACGATCTAATAATTGCATTACTTCTTTTTTTGGTAACTGTAATTGTAACGTAGTTACATTTTTTCGTTAACGGTAACAAATTTTACAGTTACTTTTGTTGTTACTTTTTATATTTTAAATCTATTTATGATATAATATTAACATATTTAATCTGCAATCTTTAATCGATATTCATAATTTGTTATATTTAAGATCGCCTTAAAAATAATTTTAAGAGTGCGTTCTAATGAAGAAAGAAACAATAGAACGGAATAAACAATAGAAATGAAGCAAAGTAGGGGCTAATCAAAATGATTTCGTTCCATTTTTTCGTATTCAAGCTCCTTATGGTGAAACTTTATTCTTTCGCAGCCACAGCAATGATATATAAAGATATATTTAAATGATAACATACGCTTTGCGTGATTATTTAAAATGGTCCGAAGGCAAGAAATAACGATCTTATAATTGAGGAAGACAGTATTGCTAATTCTGTAAAATTGTAAATTACTATTGTCTTTAAGAGGACATTTAAACGATGATATAACAGTGTATCAATATTTAATTAATGTAAATAAAAAAGAGATGGCTTCTTTTGCTTACAAATTGATTGCCAACAGTATCATTTGTCTACATCATTTTTGCCGACAATTTGTTTGTACACAAAAATTATTACCTACGGCTCGATTGCTTACATGAACATTTGCGCATAAATAAAAAGTTTAGAAACGGAATTACATTTGTCTACGTTGTCTGTATTATTGCCTACAAATATTATTGCCTACAGATGGATTGCTAACATATATTATTACTTACAGTTCGATTGCCTACGCGGGCACTTTTACATACAAATATAAAATTAAGGTTTTAAGTTAAATAAGAAAAATAATTTGTATTTTTAAAGCAAAAAATTTGTGTTTTAAAACAGAGAATTTGTTTTAAAATAGAGAACTCGTATTTCTAAAGCAAAAAATTTGTATTTTAAAACAGAATTTACGTTTTTAAAGCAGAGAATAGTCGTCTCTGACTACTAAAGAGATGCAAATTAGGATCGAAACGTATATTTAGCTTTTTTAGTAAAGTATATTTAATTGCACACTATACAACCTGTGTTGGCTTCCAAAAGTTTCTCTTTAACGTTTTGATAAACAAAAAAATGCAAGTCAAATACCATTCAAGTCAAATAATATACTTTTCTAATTTAAAAAATGGCATAATTAGTTAAGTTAAAAATTCCAAATAAAAATATATAATGCTTTCGTATGGTAATTGATCTATTTAAGAATTTCTGTTTTATGTAAGCTTACTCCAAGGTTACTCTTTATTTGCAACTAATCAGCAGAAAACTGGAAATATTCTAGAATATACAGTAGAGATAAATACAAATGTCTGATTCATTGACGTAATATATACATTAAAAGATTATAAAGCAATAAAAATATAATCGTTTAAAGATAATTACAAACATACGAGACTACAGACTGCGTAAGCCACATCTTAGTAACTTATATTTACAGTAATGAGAGTTTGTGTTAGTGATGAATATCATTCTATTTTCTTTTATGTTTGTACTTCATGTTTATATGACCTGCGATTTTGCAACTTTAATCAATCTATTTTTTTGTATTACGAACGATATAAATACGATGATAGTAGACTTCAGAACACTTTAGTACGACATTAGAAATAGTGTAGACCAACTAAATCATTAAAATGAAGAAAATATTATTTTATATTTGCACTTTTGTATTCGTTGTAAGTATTTTTTTGACATAAAATTATATAAAATAGAAGATTAAAAATGTTTCTGGAGACATAATAAGAGTTCTCTTACAACTTAATTATAAATAAATTATAACTTTTATATTATA